CCGATTTCTAATATTTTTACACGAAAGTAATGTAAATGCATATTTTTTTAAATCTGTGATCATTTTATTAAATAAATTTGATGAATGATTAATTTCGATAACACTACATTACCGTTTAAATGTTTGTGGTCAGATTAAAAAAATGTATTCATTACGCATTAAATTTATCCAAAATGATAGTAATAGTAATTTATATTGTTAGATATCTGTTTTTTAAAAAATGCTGTTCTTTTGAACATTTTATTCATCAAAAAAGCTGAATAAAAATGTATTATTGTTGACACAAAAATATTAAACAGCACAACTGTTTTTAACATTGTTGATGATAATAATAATAATAAGAAGAAGAAGAAATGTTTGTTAAGCACCAAATCAGTATATTAGAATGATTTCTGAAGAATCATGTGACTCTGAAGACTGAAGTAATGATGCTGAAAATGCAGCTTTGCATCAAAGGAATAAACTACATTTTAATTGTAATATTTCACAATATTACTGTTTTAGTGTATTTTTGATCAAACAAAGGAGCCTTGATTAGCATGAGAGAAAAAAAACATTAAAACAATTTGAATGATACTAGTGCATACTGGCATTAAATTGGCCATCAACCATCCTGCTTTCCAGATATTTGCATCTACAGTACATACTGTATATCGACCACTGTAAAACTGATATCAGTCTATCACTAATTCAGATGCAAAACCACGTTTTAACTCCACGTTATGTCTTAGGAAAGACAACATATTGGCATGACATCTTTCTCTTATGCAGTATTTGATAATATTTCACAAAAATGACTGTACCTGGAAGGCAAGATCATGGTACTTCTGCTTCTCTTTGGGTCCCAGCGCGTACCACCACTCACCCAGTATTTTACTGACAGTACGGTTATCCTGGTTGGGGTGCCGCTGGTGAACCAGCGCACGGTGCCGCTTACTAAAGATCATAAATGCATTCATTGGCCGTCTGATGTGGTCCTTTTCCCTCTTTGTGGTTTGAGAGAGAAGAGAGAGAGATTGGAGAAATAATGAGTGTACATTTGTATAACACTTTCAACAGAAGATAAAAAGGGAAATGAATGATGGCAATGCTTTACGACTGTAGCTTGAAACCCTTGACAAGTTTCTGGGTAATTTTTCAGCACTCACTAAAAGTGAGATGGCGGGGCTGTCTGGTGATACTCAAAGGAAACCAGGCAACTGAAAAAAAAGAACATGAATAGCAGACCGAAACTTACCTTCTTGTCACCTTCTTTTGGGAGTGCACTGAGAGATTGTGTGCGCCTTTTCACTGGGCTGGTGGATGGAGCAGTGTCTTGAGCTGGGAAAAAACTTAAAAAAAACATTAAAAAAACAAGGGAAGAGAGAAATGCATCAAAAACAGTAAGCAAAATGTAAAAAAAATATATTTATTGTGATTTTTTTTTTAAATAAAAATATTTTTCCCATAATATGTGTATATTACATGTCCTTACAAAGCCTTTTTTTTTTTTTTTATATTGTAATGTAAATGTTTGCTGTCATTGTCAAGAGGTGAGATGCAACAGATATTTACAGGTCGTCAGCATCACTCTCGGTCTCACTGTCACCTCCTCTCTCCACGGGTGGGTCTTCAGCAATAGGAGGGGGGCAAGACGGGGAACCTCTCTCTGGGGCTGGATGGTCAGTAGGTCCCTCAGTCACAAGGGCAACTCCACAGCGAGGTTCTGCACGTTTATTCAGTTTCAAAACATCAACAGAAAACATATATTCTGAATGTGATTTTGTGTATATTCTATGCAGTATCATACAAGAAAATGTTGCAATGTCAAATTATAGTGTTTAGATGTTACCTTTGCTCTGATTTACAAGTGTTTGGCCATCTGAAGGCTGCATGGACATTTTTGTCTGGCTGGTCTCCAGAAAAGGAACCAACGAATGCCACGCGAACACTGGCACAGAGCGGGGCTCCACGTTGGTCCAAACTAAATGCAGAAACAGACAAACCTACTATATATTCACACGACTCTTTCGGAAAACCTACAGCCTCTCTATTCACTTAAGAGGGAACTGGTGAAAAGGCACCTTTCTGTTTTAGATTGAACCTGAATGAAAGCCATTCATGTACATATGTCTGTGTATCAGTGATTGGTGAAACAAAGAAAGTGTGTAACTGTCCTGTGCATCTGTCATTCCAGGGATCTGTGTATCTCAGATTAAGTACTCATGAGAATCAGGGTGGTCCAATCACCCTCTAGCCGTGCATGTCTGGGCAAGTTCCCGTGTATCATTTCAGACATGCTGCAACTGTCTTTAGAAACACTGACCCTGAAAGCACAGTGCATTCTTCACTTCACACACCCAAACACACCTGCTGCTGACCAGCATACCAAAGTCACTCTGAGCCCCCCTTATTTTTACAGTTTGTCAGCAGTTTCTTTGTTGGTGTCCTCCAACTTACAAAACATATTCTGCCCTGCACAAACTAATCCAGAAAAAAAAAAAATTTTTTATCTTTCGTAAAAATAAACTATACACAAACTGTGCAATAAATTAATTTGGATAAATGTGAATAGAACTGCCTAGATAATTAGGAAGAATTTGATACTACATTTTTAAAAGAACATTGAAATTGACTTTGTTACTTTGGGAAATCTAAGCATAGTGTGTGACATTTTGAGATTTACTCTGAAACTCTAGAGACACGTGAGAATCTTTTACAGGGATAATCATTAATTTAATGCATCCTTGATGAATGAAAGTATTAATTTCTTTTAAAAAATTCTTTTGAATCGTAGTTTACAAATAATATAAAGTTAGCACATTCACATTCCTAAATTATTTTACATACTTTAAACTGTTGGTGGCTATGGTGATCAATAATTTACAAACGTTAGTGTTCTTATTGGTTTTATTTGTCTTTAAGGTTTCTTACCAGTGCCAGGCCGTCCCATGATGATGTCTTTGCGAGGAGCAGGGTGAGGGGACTCGGCTGGCAGGATGAGGGGCAACAGAGCAGTGGGTGAAGGATGGCAAGCCACAGGCTGTGGGAGAGCACCACCTGACTTCCTCTCTTGCTCTTTACCTCCTGAGCCAGATAGTGCAAGGGCAGGTCCAGTGGTTGCATTAGAGGTGGACACATTCAAAGCGGCAGAGTTTGAATGTGCGGGATGTCCAGGAGCCACAGGCGTCAATGACTGAGAGGAAGTCACCAGGACTAAGGTGGGAGCGGGATTGCGAAGGAGAACGGCTCCATTGGTGGCAGCGCCATTTATGGGCACAGGGGCCTGGAGGCCCACGGCATGGTGAGGGGGCTGACTGTGCTCCCTAGAGCGTGAGCTTGCTCTACGGCTCAGGGGACCATCGCTGAAAAATTCGGGGTTACGAACAATGACAGGCGAATCGCGTAGGGGAACGATACGACGTGAGCTGGGATCCTGTGGCAGTGGTGAGGGTGGTGTGGGAGAAACCAGCATAGGGGGTGGAGTGGAAGCGGCAGAGGATGAGGGTCGGCTTGTGACGCTCCTCTGCCGAGGAAATGAGAGAGATGAGGGGGTGGTAGGCTGGCTTTGGGGGGATAGAACCCTGAATGCTGCCGTGTTGAGGCTGAGGCCAGGGTCATTGAATTGGGGATCAGATTTCGCATAGTCTGATGCACTAGGCAGCGGGGGTGGAGGGACATCCAGCTTACGTTTACTGGGACTCATGGGTACAGTGAACGTCAAGTTGGTCTGAAAAGTGGGGATGATGCCAGAGATGTGGCGCTCACGTTCTGCGCTGGGAGTGCCAGGGATTTTCGTGCCACTGAGGTGGCGAGGGCGGCGAGGGGTCAGTGGTGCTGTGATGGGGCTGAAATTAGCTGGGCGGAAGCCAAATAGCGTGGGCGAGGGGGACGGCGCAGGTGAGAACGGTGACTGATTGGATACAGGTGAGAATGAGGGCGTGCACGAGCGTGAGCTGCCAAGTGAGACCAGCATATTTGCAGCCTCACACTCGTCAAAGTCAAAGCGTGACATGTCACGTGGCAGTTCTTGTGGTATAAGAGAAGTCATCACCAGACGTGGTCGAGAGTCCCCACCACGGCTGCTGGCTTCACTGCTGTCTCTTGAGTTGTCGTCCCAGTCATATTCGCTGCTGGTGCGCCCACCTAAACGAAGGTCAGGTGTGAGAGTGCCAGTGCTACTGGCGCCACTCCTGTCTCGGCCAACCCCGCCTCCAGCTTCCATCTCTTTGGTGCGCATGGAGAGATGCCGAGAGCAGTAGCCACGCCTCTGCGACTCCTTCGAGCAGCCTTCACGTGAGCACAGTCTGCGCCACTGCTTTCCGTTGAACTTCTTACGGATGCCTGTAGGGGTGCACACCACATCGCCCTTCTTGAACTTCTGTTGAGCGGCCGTGAGGGGTGTGCGGGAACGTGACGAAGAGGACGAGGATCCAGAGCCACCCCCTGATGCACCATGCGAGTTGGAGCTGGGGGTCTTGTCCAGGGAGCCTCGAGAAGAGCTTGGGGGCAAGGGAGGAAGCTGGGACGTGGAGGAGATGACTGCCGCACCTGTGGCTGAATCCAGGCCCAGGAGCATAGGGGGGTGATTTGGGTGAGGAGCAAGGGGCAGGTGGGGTGCAATCGGGGTGCTGAGCCCTCTCACCACAGAAAGGTGAGGGCTGAGGTAGTTTGGTTTAGAAAGAATGGGCCGATGCTGAGAAGGAGCCCCCAGAGCTTTGCTTCCCAAGGCAGTGATGCCACCATCCCTTAGCTGGCTAAGACAGCTGACTTCCAAGTCCACCCCATCTGGGGTGGATGAATGAAGAGGATGATGCTTTTGCCTCTCCCTCTCCCTTTCTCGTTCTCGTTCCCTTTCTCTCTCTAAGTGCCTATGCAAGTCTCTTTCCTGATCCTTCTCTCTGTGATTTTCCCAGTCTCTGTTTGGGGCCACACTGAATACAGATGTGATGGCAGTGTTAACGACAGAAGACGAAGAATGGGGTGAGGGGTAAGGTTGCAGCAAACTCTGAACAAACCCAGCCTTCCCCTAATCTGGGACCCTGTCGGGCCAGAACTCTCTGATTTTTGAGACCTTTGGCGAGGACGCCGGCTAGACCAGATGACAGGCTCTCCTGCATGGATGTCAAAGTGCTATGTGCTTGTGGCTTTTGGGAGTTGAAGTGAGAATCACGTCTTGAAGCTGTCACGTCTAGGTCAGCCGAGTGTTCGCTGGCTGTGTCGGTTGAGGAGCAACGCTGTGGGCTGGATGCGCTCGGCCTGTCCCTCTCTCCGCACTCACCTGCAGTTCTACCTGTAGGCCCAGTTACATTGTTGTGTCCATACCCAGTGATGCTGTCCTCAGCCAGCTGGCTTTGACCGTGTAGGTCCGTGTGCGCAGCAGAGGCAGCTGGGCCCTGACTAGCACCACTTCCATTATGAGAGCTGCTGCTGCTCTGTGGGGGTGTGCTGGGAGTGCTGGCGTTGCCATGGTTTCCAGCACAGTGCTCCGAGGTGTACTTCTTCTTAGGCACACGGGCCTTAAAAGTGGCCGTCTTGCGACTAGAAGTGTTGGGGCTGTTGCTGGCGCTGATCGTGCTACTGTTGCTGTCACTCTGTGTTCCGCCAGACTTAGAGCTTCCGGGGCATTCCTCTGTCTTCCCGAAATCCACTGCTATACTGAGGACCCCCTCCTTTTCCAGAGACCCGCTTCTTCTCAGTGGCCCTTCCTGTGATGAGTCAGAATTTGAGGAGATATGTCTCTTGGGAGAGGTAGGTGAAATTTGGGGTTTTTCCTCTGTTTCTCTCTTCTCTTCCTGTGGGCTACTGTCCGCTGTCCTCCTCTTAACTCCCTTGGCGCGAGTGGATGGGGGCGACCGCCTTTCTTGCTTTTTAATGGGCTTCATCTTGTCTTGCTCTAAGAGAGTGTCTAATCCTCCTGATTTCCTGCGAGTCCCAGCCTATCAATATCTTCCACTCTGTTTCCCTCTTGCATCCCGCCCCTTCTCTTTTTCTTCTGTTCTTGTCCAAGCCTCTTCCTGTTTGCGCTGTCCTTTCCTTCTTAAATTAGAGCCTGCAATGAAACACAGCACATGAGATGGATCAGTTTGTAATACAGCACTACAATTCTCATATAGAGAATTGGGAGTATAGAAAACAGAATATACAACCAAAAACAAGTTAGTGCACAAAATAAAGTTTTAAGTTTAGTGCCTAATCTCATCAAAACATCTTCATAAGTGTGAATTTATATAACGTAGCCTTAAAAAGTGGATATAACACAACTTAATACAAGAAAACTTGACAACGATAGAACACAAAGAAAAATGCTTGCCCAGACAAGTCACACACTCACTTTGGTTTTTTGGCTGGATCAGAGGAGGCGGGGGAATTCCTTGTTCAGTGGTATTTCTGTGACTCTAAGGCTCTCTCTCGCTCGCTCTTTCAAATGACCTTTTTGCATTCGTTACAGAGGCAATCCACCCCTACAGTCCTCACTTCCTGTCACAGCACTACAACATCTCAATGTACAATACCACCATCCTTACACATTACTACTTACGCATTCTTTCTTCCTACCAAAACACCCTTTTCTTCACCATCCAGACTTCTGTTTAAAGCCCATTTAAAACCCACAGATATGTTATCAACATTAATGTTTGCATAAATATATTTAGACACTTGGATACACTTTCTACAACCCAGTTTAAATACACCCTACAGATTACAAATAATTCATTATAGTCAAATGACAAATAATTTAAGCTTTGAATATCTCCAAAAACTGCATGCAGGGTTTATGACTATAAAATATGACTGACTGGTTTTTATTAAATTACGGATGTGCATCTAATATATACTATGATTAAAGGTCAGAACATGAATGACCTCTTTTGATAAGCCAATGCATGCTGGAATTGATGAAGATGGAACAGATCGTTTTAGGTCCGCAATGCAAAACTGTCCATTCTTGTGAGCAGAAACCACAGTAACCACACTGCCATTTGCACTGTAAGACAAGTTTGCAGGCAATATGCAAATCTAAGATATGCTGTATATAACCTTCAGTAAGAAAATTCCATCATAAAATAGTTTACTAAGACCTGCCATGACTTTTATTGCTTGGTCATGTAGGTGAGTAAAATTTTTGGGTCAATAAACTATTCCAGTGCATATAAGATAACACAAAGTGTAAATAATGAAAGGTTCTATTTAAAAGGGCACTCAGTTTTATACCAATAGTACCACCGGTTCGGATTTTATACTGACATCACTTTTTTTTACTCATTGCGTCCTTATTCTGTATGGACTTGCAGATTGCCTGCTCATACATACCATCACTATGGTTATATTTGTGCTTTTTTTTTTTTAATGCCATGTTTATACAATAAAGATATTCAATATTTTATCAAATAATTTATTTTATAAAATAATTTTTATGTTTTATAATTATATAATAAGTAGTAGTAACTGTCAACTCTGCATGACACATTGTGTCATGTGATGTCAACATGGCAACGCCCATAAGGTGGCGACCCGCTTCATATAGGAAATGTATATAACTTTAATGATTTTGTAACTCAAACCATAGAGCATGACACCAGCAACATCAAGGTTATGGGTTTGATTCCCAGGGAATGAATTAACTGGTCAAATGTATACCTTGAATGCTATATGAGTCACTTTGGACAAAACGTCTGCCAAACACATAAATTAAGGAAATTAAAAAAAAAACACTGTGTAAAACTTTATGAACTGGCAAAAAAAATTACGTTTATATGCAATGCACTAAATAGCTATTTAACTTTCTAGGCCTGCCCACTGCACTCACTGACCCTTCAAGTAATTATAACAACTCAATCTTATAATGACTCGCCAAATGCACAATAATAAATGTTCCCATGCAACAGCAAGACTCCAAATAAACACAAATGTCCTGAAACAAAGTAAAAGCCCTGTTTCCCATCAACAATGGTGCTGCTGTCGTCGACTTGCGAAAGTTTTGCTGAGTAGTACACCGCCGTATCTGTGTCAAGCGCTTTTATTGGTCGTAGTGCCCTACTCTACGCTTACAACCACCTACGACACAGTCGAGTGGTGTAGGCCTCCTCCATAACACAAGGCCGCAGAGCAGTTTCCCGTCTCCCTAAGGCTCCTGAATCGAGGGCGACGGTACCCATATTATTAAATATGGGAAAAAACAAACAATCCTTTTCAAATATATGCGCCTTATAGGGTATAAATATGAAAACATCCGAATTAAATTTACTGAATGCAACAGAAAACATATTATTATAATATAGTCAAGTTTAAGGAACAAAATAATCGCGTTATCTTTACGTAAAAAAAAACTATGGATATAAGCAGTGACAGTTCCTGAAGGTAAAGGAATACACGAAAGCAGTTTGTTGACGCTGTAGCTGTTGTGTCACACAAATATTTTCAGGAAAAAAAGTTTTTAGGCTAACTGTGCACCTCCACCCCTCCCTTTCAATGTGTGTGTGTATGTTAAAAGCTTACTCCGCCATTTTATACAATCCACTAAGAAAAATTAAACAACTGACGGCGAAACATTGTAGATGGATCCGCGACGTAAAGGCAAAACACAGCATTAAATATATAGGCAGATCACTGCAGTACTGCAGATGAAAGGTTTCAACTCACCCCGTGAACATTTACAGTGCCGTCGAAATGGTGTCGATGCGAAAACCAAGCCTATAAAACCACGGAATCCCCGAGAATGCTTTTGCAAAGAGTGTTTTTCTTCCGCAAATGAGAAAAAGTCCTGCCGTTGAGGTTCCAGGGTACTCTACGGTCGCAAAATGGTGAATGAAGCTCTAAGCCTTGACAAACAGCGCCCTCAGCCAATCAGCGTTCACAAAAGGGTACAGTAACCTATCAGTATTCGGGTAGCGGTGAATGAGGGCGGAGTCATCTGTCAAAGTCCCTTTGATCGACAGGTCGCTCGGACCAATCGCGCTATGGGAAAACAAGAAACAGCTGGTCGATCCTGAAACTGCATCAGCCAATGGGATTCAAAGGGAGGGTCAGCCGAAGGGAGTAGGTTGGCAAAATTGATAATATTAACAATTTGCGATGTCTAAATACTTTTGTAGTCAATCTGAGCAAAGCGTTATTGCCGATGTGAAATAAAAGAGAAAATATAAATGAATAAAACAAAAAATAGCGAGCCAGTAATGTTAACAAAATAAATAAATAAACTTTCAGCAGGACATTTATGAATTGTAAGACTGCAAAAAGCCTAGTTGTTGGTTAGATGAAAGTATACATCTTTTAAAAAATATGTAAAAAGCACATAATATATCTGTACATACAACTGTCTATTGTTATATACCTGTACATACAATTGACGATTTGTATATTTTTTTATTCCTTATTTACTTGTTCTATTTTTTATTTATTTTTATTTTCTGTGTTTTTTGTTCTGTCACTGTCATTCTGTTACACTGTGGAAGCTTCTGTCACGAAAACAAATTCCTCGTATGTGTAAACATACCTGGCAATAAAGCTCATTCTGATTCTGATTCTGAAAAGTCATAAATTGTTTAAAAGCCTTGAGAAGATGCAAAAAAAAAAGTATTTTATTGTGTTTTTATGCAAATAGCACAAACGTACACTTGCAAATGAGTTTCCTTCCCGTTTACTATTTACGTTAACATCAGCCCTGTTGGAAAATCCCACTAAAACTGGTAGCTGTGCGCTTTTCAAACAGGGATGACATTAACTTCAATAATAAACAGGAAGGAAACTCACTTCCAGGTCTGAGTACGTTTCATTCTCTTTTAGCGTTCAGAAAAATAACACGCAAAATTAAACCAGACACATCAACTTCAACGACTCCTCTTTCATTTTACACATTCTATACCTTCACGAATCCAGCCAATCGCGGAGCTCGTTCAGACTACTTATGACGTCAGCGGCCGTCTTGAGCCCGCCTTCCTACGGTAGCGTCATCAAATCGACCTGTGATTGGTCAAGCTGCAGGGGTCTCCAGACCAATGACCAAGCCATGTGATGAGCTCATTATGCCTGTTGCCATCACTGCAACCAAACAGGAAGGCTTTGAGAGTAAATTAGTCTAAATGAGGAATTAAAATGCACTGCCACAGAGTGTAGCAGATACAGGTTTCTGCATTGCAAATTCAGTTTTAATGTGATTTTATCATCGTGGGTGGCCTCCTTTGAGCCATGTTTGAATAAATGTGTGGTTTCAACGAATGCAAATGGTTGTGTGTGGAACTGCATACTATGGAGATGATCAGTTTATGCATCAGGGCTCAGCTGGACCGTCACGCACTCTGCATGCAATTATGACATGCAATGGAAAATTGCATAACGCGCGCATACACAAACACACACTTAAGCACTCAGTCATCCACACAGAGACAATAATCTCTTAGTACACGCCACACCCTGTTCTGTTGTTCTGTTAAAGCTCCCCAGAAGTCCTGGCAGTCCTTGACGTTCAATACAGATACGTGAGCACTTGTGTGTCTTGTGTAAGGTTAACATTTAACTACGAGAAGAAAAAGTTATGTCAGTGCTCAAAGGCCAGTGTCGGCCTGACCTATAAAACAAAGTGAAAACGAAAGAGAAAGGCAGGCCAAAATGTAGCTTATTCAGTCATAATGAGACTTTCAGGTTGACTCGATACACACTTTGATGGGATATTATGAAGTACAAAGAAAAGGTATGAGGCCTTCAGAATGAAAAGGCCAATTTGAGTTTTTGACTCAAACAACGAGGAAACAAACATCCGCTCTGGTCGGACTTATACACAAACACTCAAAGATGTTTACAAGAAGCACAGAGTCTGCGAATGTAAAAGTCTTGAGAGGACATAGTGAAGAAAGATACAATTTTTAAACATTAATATCATGAAATTAGAAAATTCACATATAAACACACCCTACAGTCTAAAAAACGCTGGGTTAAATATAACCCAGCGCTGGGTTAAAAAGGGACAAACCCAGCTGTTGGGTTGTTTTGACCCAACGGTTGGGTTAAAAACAACCCAATAGCTGGGTTTGTCCCTTTTTAACCCAGCATTTTTTAGAGTGTACAGTAAACTTTCTTGAGCACCAAAACAATACTTTTCAAATGAAAATCATGTGTTCCCTGCAATTATGTATGTATATATTTTTTCATACACAAAATTAATTATTATAATAAAATTAATTAAACTACTTTTATTTAAAATGAATAATTCATTTAAAAATATTTACTTATTTTTTTATGTATGCTTCATTTAGGCTGTATAGTAATCTGCAATACAACTGCATTATCTCCTTTGTATTTTCTGTTTCTTTTATTTGGATACATTTAAAGAAAGTCAAAAGCCTGTCAGTGTCAATCAATCAAGTCAGATGGCACAGATGCGCACTGTCTCTTCAAAACACCCAAACAATCGCAATCAGAGACAAATTAGGCCTCCTTGTTTCAACCAACCACTGGTTCATAGTGCCTGATTTAACCTTTGACCTACCCTTACCAGGTCAACGAGCCCTCACAGCAAGCATCCAGGTTTCACTGTCAATCAAGCAGTGTGTGTCCTCGACTGCTCCACCCCCTACTCTGTTGTAAAACATTTTATTATTTCAGGGTGAAGAAAGAAATCAGACTTCTATAGTGTAAAGTGATGAAAAACCTAATCAGAATATGCAATTATGAGACAGACTAAATCCAGAAGAACTGTGGCAACGTCTCCAAGATGCTTCAAGAAACCTACCTGCAAAGCTACTTGAAAAACTATGCGCAAGTGCACCGAGGGCAAAAGCTGCTTTAAACGCAAAGGATGGTCACAACAAATGTTAATTTAATTTAGTTAATAGAAGTTAATTGATAAAGAAGATTTTTAAACGCAAAGGATGGTCATGCCAAATGTTGATTTAATTTAGTTAATAGAAGTTAATTGATAAAGAAGATTTATTTATGACATTATTTTTGAAAGCATCCTCATTTTACAGTATTTTTACACAAGAGCCTAAAACTTTACTGTAGCTTAGGTGTCTTGAACCACAGTTCTTCTGGATTGAGTCTGTCTCAGTTTGTTGTGTTTCTTCATGTCGTTCCAGACAGACTGGATGATGATCAGATCAGATCTCTGTGTGGAGCGCTGGCTGCTGTCAGACTCCTTGTGCAAACAAAAATCTGACTGAATTATTACAATTAATGGCAAAATAAACATTTGGAAATGTAAACTGATATTTCTTACTGACACACTACAGCGAAAGATAGAAATAACTGACTTAAAACCATCTTTTTTAGCCGGTGAAAATACTAGTGTTCTAATCATTTTGGCCACCACTGTATTTCATCATATTCAAACGGACACTATTAACTTTAAGGCTAAGACTTTGGAATTTCTTTCACATCTTGTTGACTGTAATTTGTTTTAAAACAAACATGTTGACATTTAAAGTTTAAATTTCAATTCTGATTTAAATTGTTATTTTAAAAACCCTTTGGAGTAAACCCATGGCAAATTAGCTTTCTGGGTTGGCCTACATATTGACATCACGACTGAACTGGTCTGAAAGATAAGGAGCTACATTTTTACTCAGGGAAGATATGAACATTAGCTTAAAGGGTTAGTTCACCCAAAAATGAAAATTCTGTCATTAATTACTCAGTGGCGGCTCGTCGGGGATAGTGGTTTTTGGATATTTTAATAAAAAAAATCTTACATATTGTGTCTTTAAGGGTGAACTGTTTCTGCACCACTAGCGGTGTCAAACGGAATTGGAATTATTATTAATGATGACTACGAGTGGCTGACTTATAGATTTTGCACATTAAACTAGAATGGGAGACAGTATTAAAACATCTAAAATGACACTTCGCCTTTAAGAGCCTCGATAACAGCTTCTAAACAAAAGTGAACAAGGGCAATATTTTAGCAGCAGAGGGCGCTGTTTTACAAATAATTACAAGTGGATAAAATTCTCAAGTTTTAAATTCTCTTCTGCACGGTACTTTCTTAACTGTGTGCAGTCTGAGGAAATTATTTTAGTATACTTGATTCCAGGTTTCTCTCTAAAACGAAAGACAGCTGCTTCGCGTTCAGCTCACAAATGCTGTCTGGTTTGTGGAGGAACGTTAGTGTTAACGGTCTTCCCGTGGCGTGAATTTCCAGTTCATTAGGAAAGCAAATCCTGATTTTGCATCTCGCTTCACCTCAAACAGGATCTGGAATAACAGCCCTCTTCATTTGTGTTTGAAACTGAAACTACAGAAGCATAACTAGAGTACACAGGTAACATAAAAAAAATACCTTATATGTCTTTATGTATGTGTGTGTATGTGCATGTACAGGCCTGGATTCATGTTTAGCAGCTTTTAGAATTACTGTCCTAACCAGTCCAAAAAATACCATAGTATTACTATGGTATGTTACTGTAGTACTATGCCAAATAAAACACATTATATCAGTTTAGTGAAAATCTGCCATTCTGATTACTGTTGTTTGAGTTAGTTTTAGATTGAATTCGATTTAATTAGATAATTTCAGTATATTATTAGTTTAAAATGTTTAAGGGTTGAGGTTTAATTGACATTATAGTGAAAATGTTGAAATATTAGTTGTATTTTACCAGTACTTACAAGATACCATCAACAGAGAAAAATCTGGAGATGTAAATGAAGGACAAGAAACCCAGATCCGTTTTTACCTGTTTTAATGAACCCTGATTACAGTTTTAATTACAAGAGCAAAAGAAACCACACGAGAAACTAAAGTATACATGGTTCCTTGTAACGTCAAGTTTTGTCTCTCTTTACAAAGTATTACATAACCGTTGAGAGACAGATGGAAAGCTTTAAGAAAGAAGCGAAAGCAGAAAGACCTTGAACACAAGAAATAATTGTCTTTTTCTTACATCATCCCCTCAAAATGGAAAATATATATTTATATATGTACACAACCAAAAAAAAAAAAAAAAAGAGACATTAAAATAAAAATGTGATAGCATAATGTCACCCTCCCTCTTCATCTGGTTTTCTTCATTACAACTAAAAACCAGCAATAATACAAAGCCAGAGCACTTTTATATCATGGTATCAAAGAGGGTAGAGGAATACACTTTATTAAAATTGTTCATCTTGACAGGTTAAAATCCAGGTAAGGGGTACAAACAAAATACCAGCAATAATATCAACATTAAAAATGATAACTGGTAATATAAACAAAAAAGGTATAATAAAACAGCACTGTTTATATTGAATATAGAGCAAGAGGAAAACAAAGTATTTTCTAACAAATAAGGCAGCTGTCAGTTAAAATACAGATACTGAACCGGTGTAAGGCCGCCAAACAAACTCCAAAAAAGTCAAAAGAGGGGGAAAAAAATGAGTGTTAAGTGTGTCAGGTCCTATACTTCCTACTTAGATGAGGGCTAAGAGGCTGAATGTCCACTTTCTAGTTGTCAGTTCGGTGAAGTGAGGTCCCTTTCTTCGAGGCCGTCATTGACTACGAAGTCCCTGCAATTTTGCTACAAATTGAGCTGGCCGTAGCCAAACGCTAAGCCAAATAGGATGTCTTACCTGTTCAATCTTGATCATCGTAGATAAAGAACAGCCTCCTACAACTAAAACACTGCAGAGAGACTGAGATGGAGAACGCAAATGCGACGGGTCGAGTTAAAACTATACGTAGACCTTATAAGGCCAAGGACAGCTGTGCCATTCAGGGTTCTCAACGATTGGTCAGTTATGTTTAAGTTTGTCTATAACAACACTTTTCTTTCACAGTAAAGCACTGTAGGGCCCTGAAACCAAACATCCCGCTGACATAGATTTACCATATAGATTTACCTTCTGAAATATAATTTGTATCAAAACCAACGTTTGTTCTTTTATCAAATATATACGACTATCGTGCAATAAAGAGAGAATATATGGACTCTAAATGCAAATCTTATTTAGGATAGTTTCTTTTAAGGTACAAAACTAAATAAGGCATAAAAGCAGTGTTTGAGGTCATGTTTCTAAGGCCTCTCCTGTATGCGAGTTGGTACGTGTCGATAAAGCAACCCATTGAAAAGCACTGGGCGGTCAGTCTTCCGTAAAAAGGCACAAATGTTTGTTCATTTGAAGGCTTTGTATTCAAAGACAACCTGTTGGATAGAGGAAAGGGGTGTGGGGTGGTATGCCTGAGATTTACCGCCAACAAACCATGAAGATTTGCGTCCTTTACAAAACAGCAAGGTGTGTTAAGTGGTTTTAGGGATGATTAGAAAGCTAAAACCATAAAGCTCCCTCTGATACGTTGCCCCAACGTTCCCGTTACGTTCCCTCAGGGTTAAAACGGCATTAAAAAAATAAATAAATAAAGTTGGTGAAGGAAATATCATATGTGATCTATAATTTGTCATCCAGCTGGTGGTCATGAAGACGGACTAACATATATAAAACGAATCCCCCAATGTATATACATGTGTTAAGAGGTTGTTGAGTGGTCCCGTCAGCCGGCTGAGCTTGCTGAACAGCTAGGAAAGTTGGTGTCCGGAGCCGGCAGTAAAGGCTGATAGCACGCTAGCGTTAATGGCTCTGAAGGCAGTGACATGAAGGGCCTGGTTTGAGAGTGAAAGGCAAGCTGGTTCTGCAAAAAGTCTGGGACTTGAATCTTGGTATGCAAAAAAATGAAAGAGCGTCTGTAATCGCAAAGTCTGAGAACTATGATTGAGTTTGAGGTGGGGCCAGCATCCTTCCTGCATTTTTCACTTCATCCAAGAGTGTCTGTTTAAATAAGACGATGTCCACTTGCCTGTGACCATGTGACTAAATTTCATGGGCATGAATGACACGACAAAAAAAGAAAAAGATCACCATCTTTACCCATATTTTACAGGGGTGCATCAACGTCCAGTTTAAGCACTTCTGTAATCTCTTGATTTACAAAAAAATTTATGAGTGTCCAAGTGTCCAAGAATACTAGTGGGATGATGTTAGTCTAATACAGCAAACAAAAAGGAATGGGTTCGGTAAGCAAGGGGCTCTGGCTAAACTTGGGAAAGGGGCCTTGGTACTTAAAATGCATAAAAAAAGTATGTATTAATAATTTTTAGTGTTGCAATATTTTGAAGTGAGTGAACCTGCATGTACAGAAGTTAAAAAGATGGTTTGGGCATCCGAACATGCTGAATGGATGGTCTTCACGTAACTTCTGAGAGCAACAGTTGCCTTCAGCCCTTAAGGAGGACAGCTCTGTGTTGGTAAGTTTATGTGTTTGACCATGTCTTCTTCAGCAAACGTTGTTTTCTAAAGACAGCTGTGCTGTCGCTTGCTGCAGCTCAGAACTCACCCTCCTCTGGCCCGTCCCCAGGTGTGCAGCCAAAGTCTCCGAACTCTTCCGCTCTCCATTTTCCTCCCCCAGTTTAGGCTCCACCTCCTGGGTAAGTTCCTCCCTCTCTGCCCTGCTCTTCTTGTCCTCAGCCTCTTCGGTTCCCGCCTCCATTCGTTGGTCCTCACTCCAGCGGCGTTTAAAACGCAACTTCAGAGGGATGCAGCGCGTACCCCCGGGGCTAATGGGAGCGCCCTGGCCCAGGTTTAGCTCTCGGGGTTCTGCTTTAAGACCTAAAAGATTTACCCCAACCCCTGAGGTAGGGGCAGCTGGGGTCTTGAAGACATCTTCCTCGAGATCATCATCATCAGTCATGCGATCGTGGTTGGGTGGAGGGGCGAGGCCACCATTAGGGTGAGGAGGGGAAAAGACATCACATTCGTCGTCTTCATGCTCCTCCTCGCTGATGTCGGTGACCTCGACTTCTTCCTCCGACTCCATGTCTGAGATGGGCTCAACCTGCAGAAGACAGCAAAATGAGCATTACAGAAAACCATTTTCATTCTCAAAGGAGCTACAGTGTGGATTTTTTTTAAGGTGAACATACCTTGATCTTTGGTGGACCAGCTAGGGTTGAGTTGTTGGTCATCATTCCAGATGAAGCAGAATTTGAGGCTGCACCAGGCTCCCCGCTGTAAGAGAAGGAAGCAGCAGCGCTTCCAGAATTTGAAGCATGTCCTGCTCCAGCCGGGTTTGGCCCTTCTCTCTGTTTGCGACCCAGTGGTGGTGGCTGTAACTTGAACTTGAACGGAGATAAATGAGGCTCCTCAGCCTGATGGTGCAGAGGGTGACTTGACAGGTGTGGACCTACACCCGCTGGCGCTCCCAGTCCCTTGTCTGGGCGCTGGGGCTGGGGGATGATGATGTTGGGATAGTGAAAGAATGCACGGGGACTCAGATGATAGTTGTAGACACTCTGAGTGTGAGCTTGCAGGTAACGCTTCATGTCTTCTGGATTGAACGAGAAGTGGGAGCCCAGCATGGGAGACAGGGATGGAGAAGGTGTGTAGGGCATGTGAGATGTAGGGGTCATGGAGAGAGCTGGAGAAAGAGCAGGAGCCAGCAAGCCTCCAGGGCCTGGGAGAGGGGACACTGGGAATGGAGACAAGGGTTCAGGGTGGACCCTGTGTGGGGGCGCATGGTGCCCACTCCTGGGAAGCCCAGTTGGGTTGGGCGGTGCACCGTAGACACGGAACAAGGAATCGTGGGACAAGCGCGGATGGAGCAGGTTTCTGAAGGCACGGTCGGCCAGGCGGTCGTCACCGGGAGCTATGCCAGTTTCCTCAAGCTCCGAGTTGGTGGAGGTGCCATCGCTGCAGTCGGAGACAGAGCCACGAGCTATGCGTCGAGGCACAGCACTGAAGACACCAGGACTGCGCAGTTCCTCGCTAGGAGAGAGGACATCCGATGGCGTGGATGGAGGGAAGCGGAAATGAGTGCTTACACCTGATGGGACAGGCGGTGCACTTTGTGGAACACCAGAACCTATGAAAAAGGTTGAGACATTTTAATAACTGTTTTACTTTGTACATCAAACTAAATGGGTGAGTTTAAGAAGCAGGGGTCTTCACCTGCAGAGCCCATGTCAATGAACGGATAGTTCACCAGCACCAGCTTGTTGAAGTTGAACTTGTAGGTGAATCTTTTCCCTTTGGTCTTGTGCAAGATCCTTTTGTTGTAGTAGTATCTGCGGAGACAGTGTTGGCATGGTTACACACTTGCCAAAGCCATTATTAGGAGTCACAGTTTGTTGAAGGCCGCCCATTTTTATGTATTTGACATTCTTGTACTTGTTAAACTTTGCAAAGGCAATGACCAGTTCAGAGATGCAAGTTACAAGAAGTTAATATGCACATTTAATCAAAAACAGAGTGACTTGTTTTCAAACACATCAAAGTATAATTCTCTTGCAATAAATGATAGGTCAAAAATGAAAATTCTTGGCTGAGACTGAAAACTTGGGACAAACTCCGAGGGCTGTGACGGTGGCAGATTTTTACCACCGTGGTGGAAAATAAATATAAAAGAAATAATACAGTTAAACAAGAAAGTAGCCTTAATAGGAAAGTTAAATACACCCTTGTCTACCGGACGAGATGGTTTCCCAACAAGGTCCATCGCCCAACACAAAATTAATTTGCTGAATGCAGAATAAACGGTATTTTCCTGCGCTCAAACCTGCCAATCTAAAGGAAACGCTGTGTATGGCATTTGAGGTCATTTGTGAATTAGGCTACCATAGACTTATAGTCTAAATGAAATTCGTATTATGCTTGTTATAGAGTGCATGACGTCACGTGCACTATTGCCGGTGACAGTAGACACGGCGACCGTCACAGCCCTACAAACCCCCCAAACTGTTAATTTTAAATTAGCTTCTGAATACCTATTAAAATTATATAAATAATATCAAAATTATTATTCAAAATTCTATTAAAATATTTGAAGCAAATTCACTATATTCTTTCTCTAATTGGACTGGCCTTAATGTAACAAAAAATAATCGTTCAAACAGCAAATTACACTAAATCCAATTGACCTAGTTCAGATCACATGCAGAGCTTCTTATGCTTAAATTTTCTTAATTTTAAACAGATCTGTTAAAAATCTTGTGTAGCCAAAATTCTATGATCATATGCGGCACCTGTCAGGAAACAAAATGTCAGACCAGCTTTTCCAAAGAGAGAAAAACCAAACCTTTTCCAGCTAAAGCCTGACATAATTACTGTATCATTAAGGAGCACTGAAAGTTATTATATATATAACACACACGTAAAATTTCTCCATACATGAAAGAATTCCGCCAACCAGATTCAGATATGTGCAGAGCAGATACGTGACTTCATGGCTATTTGAAGCTTCAGATGTTAAGATGATTTATGGGTTCAATGTGTTTAATTAAGATGTCACTGAGGGTGCAGAGAGTACATGTGTGAGAAGACATGATTGTGATATACAATGATGTGCGAATCAGGGCACTGAGAAGTTCACAGGCACATACTCAACCAACAGAGAAAAGGGCACATACACATGCACATGCACAACACTTTGAAGTGCATTTGAACTTGCTTCAAAAGAGCACAAGAACTCTTAAGCCTATCTGTATTTGCACACGCGTGTTGTGCAGACATTCACATACATGCAGTACATATGCTGTTGAGTGAAACGGCTGATCCAAATGACCTTTTGTTTACTTTCACTAAGCTTAACACGGATGACATCCATTATGAAAGCAGTGGTCTGGTTATATGATGGTCTACAAGCAGCATCAGGTTATCAGGTAAATACGAGTGTGTACATGTTGTTTTGCATTGTCTGTTGGCCTGCAGTCTGTTCATTTTCAACAGCTCAACAATGAGACGCCTGTGCAGCCTGGAGTCTGTCTGAAGGGTGTTTGAACTTTAGTGAACACGTGCAACCTCTTAGGTATGAAAGAAAAGAAAGCAGAGAGAGTGCCTTCAGGCCTTTCTTTCCCAAATGACTAGATTCACGCTGAATGCGCACACTTTTCACACATTTTCCAAAAAAATCTACAGAATAGATTTACTGGTAGTAAATTGGGTTAAACTAAACTGAAAGTACTGTTATTGGTTGCTGATGAAAGCACGATGAAATTAGCCAAACATGTTACTATCTGACCATCTCTTAAATTAGCATTTACAGACCAATTCGGTGTTCAGCAAACAGTGATGACGTTTTTTTGTGGGCGGAGCCTGGTGGCAGAAAGTGACAGTTTTCAAATAACAGCCTATGGAAGCCATGAAATAAAAGAATAAAAGGAGTTTATATTTCAAAATTCTGACATTGTTCTTGCAATTCCGAGATTATATCTCACAGTTCTGATAAGGAAAAAAACTCGTCATTCTCTCTTTTCCCCTCAGCTCAGAATCATGAGTTTATATCCCTGACTTCTAACTTTTTTCCTCAAAATTGACAAACTCGTTATTGTTCAGTTACAGTCCGAACTAGGAGATATAAACTTGCATTTGTGAGAGAGAAAAAAAAGTCAGAATTGTGAGATAAAATTTGTTATGTAAAATGTTAATAGTAACAGGTTTAAATACCGTATTGACCCAAATATAAGACGATATTATTTTCTTGGAAATACATCTGAAAAAACGCGGTCGTCTTATATTCAGGATCTAGACTTTGACATTTCAATAATACACCCACAACACTAGGTGGCGCCAAATACGCATAAAACGAGTGTGCCATGAAATACGTAATGTAATGCGTGTTGTAAAGATCGCGAGTAAAAACAAAAGAGAAAGAAAACGGTCGTGACGGTCACGTTTTAACCTGATGGGACCAAACTCCCTTTGTGATTTTAAAACGCAAGACAGTACCCAGATTTGAAGACTACAGTAAGATTTAACTTCTACTGTTAATAAGATTTTGGTAGGCTACTATTAGATGGATAACCTAAATGTCCTAATTCAGATGGGCTACCTGTTTTTTTTTTTTTTAATGGTATATCAAAAAGTGTATATTTTGTAAATGTGATTGTTGGTACATTTTACCAGTTTTTACCATACTTTCAAAACAAAAATTAAAATAGGAAAAATATGCAATATGAAAATAATTGAAGACAAAATGTGTTTTACTGAGAAAAAACAAGATTTGGTTTTTAAAAAGCCTTTTTCCAAAAGGTACATCTGGAAAAAGGGGGGTCGTCTTATAATCAGGGTCGTCTTATATTCGGGCCAATACGGTAGTATTTCATGCTGTAACTGTAGGGTTAATACAATATGTCCCCTATGAATTGCATATGTGAATATTATGTAGACCTATTGTTTAAATCAAATTTATGCTTTAAAAGTAGAGTAATCATAGCGGTTGTCATCCATAGTCTGTCCATTTAAACATCTGCGTTTAGCTTCAAATGGCGTCTTTGATGACAGTATTCTATAAAAAATTATTTGCATTCCGATTCTGACATCCAAAGGCACAAAAATATTTTTTTTCTCTTATTCCATGTATTTTACCCATTTCCCTCCACTTGTTACCGGCGTTCTTCTGCCACCACTATGCGTGGGCAGCTGCAAATGACGTAACTGTGACGTCTACTCCAAATTGGTCTATTCAAAACTCTTTTAAAGGAACACTCCACTATTTTTGCAAATAGGCGGATAAATTAAATCTGATCTGTGATGCGACTGTCGTTCGGCACGCTGCATTGAGCAGCCGCGTTCAGTTTTTAATTGTAGCGTCTGTTCTTTTACTGAACTAAATGATTTTTATTTCTATAAAAAATCAAAACGACGGTGGGGGTCGGTGACGCGGTGGGCAAGTGACGTAACCGGTGTTGCGGCTTAACACCGGTATCACCGTCAACACCGTCTATCGCGGCAAGCCTAGTGGAGTGTTCCTTTAAAATGCAATCATATACTTAGAGTCTGATGGTATTACCATGTTTTGTTTTGGTAATCATTCAGTACTAAATTATACCTTAAAGTTGCTAGTGTATTCTGGGTTAGTTGCTAGGTTTTTGCTTACTGGCCAGAGTCAAGAATTTACAAAACAATGCAGATAAAACACCAAAATGTAGTACTTAATGTTAGCCATTTGAACAAACCGTTAAACTTGAGTAATAGTGATGTTTGCCTGAATGAAAATACAAAGGATTAAAGATTTGTAGAATTTTAGAAACACTGGCAATCAAATTTAGCAGAAATCTGCAAAGGTTTTGTCAGAGGATTCTATGTGGGCCTATAAATGAACACCACAAACTTCACAATTATGTGAATGAAGAAAACCAGCTTCAACAGAGCATGAAAAAGTCAAGATGAGGTCACAGTAGAATGTGTGTATGTGTGCATGCTTTTTGGAGTTAACTTAGAGGACATTTTTTGTGTCCTCCATATGTGTTGAACAGAGGCGAGTTCTCTGTGTTTCTCAGAAGTGTGAGACTGAGGAACTTTCTGCTTTACATCTGAACTGTAAACAGCTTTCTGTTGCCTTTCTTCTTCCCCATCCCTTCCTCTTCCATTCATATGTCCATATTTCTCTTTGAGAAATGAAAGAGTTCTCGGAAGTGGAGGACGCACACTAGTCCTGTAAGTGATGGCTGATGAGCGCTAAGTGGGCTTGATTATTCTGGGATGGTGAAGGCAGGTTCAGCAGGTTTGAGTGGGCATCCGCAGGTTGCCATGGTGACCGGTCCAAAACGTTGAATAACACGAAGAGACAGACAAACAGGCAACTGGACAGATTGCGAATGACAGACGAGGACGGAAAAAGGCAAAGGCGGAAAAAATGGTATACGGGGAGGAACGCTAATACAGAAAGACAAGCAACGCAGAGGCGTTGTTGATGAACACAAAGTCAGTTAACATAAGAACAAGAGCACACAAAATCAAAGAAACAAAGCGCTCTAGACTGAGCAAAGATAAAACTGGCAGCAATATTAGTCTACCTTGAGCTGGAAGCTTTAGTTTACAGCAAAAAAATGCTCACAAAATGCTGATTTTGTACACAACTCATTCGCTTTATACCAAACTCTAGTGAGCTGTCTTGCAATTCCAAACTATTGTGAGAAGAAATGGACTAAAGTGAGTGAGATGAATTGCTCTTCATGAGAAGCAACTCAGCTAATGGCTACTAAAATGAACCACAAGCGAGACTTGACATCAACATCAATAATCTGATGTTGTCAAGTTGCTAATCTATGATGCTATTTTACGTTAGCATAAACTGTATCATCAATCTGGTTGTTAGCATTTTGCTAAGCTAACATTCTACTTTTACGCTAGCATGTCAAGTTGACATTCTAAGCACAATTGAACTATTACACGATTGAATATGCAGTATATATCTGTTATCTATTGGCATAGTGTGTCGGCACATTGCTAAGCTAGCATGCTATGTTAAGTTATCATGTTGCCAAAAGTGATAAGGCCAAGGATGAGAACTATAATGTTACCTATATAACTAAAGGTTAAGTTATCATTCTAATTCTATGACAATAGCAGCATTCACATTACTGCTATAACGATGATGAAGCATTACTGTTGGAATCACTTTCAAAACATTTTATATTGAACGATACAAACATCGACAGCCAATCAGAATCTTTAACGTGACTTTAAAGAGTGAGTATTTAAAGTGGCCGACATCATAACAGCACACTTATAATATACATAATGTTAATGTTCATCAGTGTGGGTGCTAATAAAGTTAGCGTCATTGGTGTGAATAGGCCTCCACTCTCGTTTGATATTTCCAGTTCAATTTGGAAATGTCTTATCAAAAGGGCCTTTCGCACCGCTTTAGTTCCAGAACTAAATGTACAGTACTAAAGTACTGGGACGATTTTGCACGAACTATTTCCCAGTACCATTTAAAGGGTTGCATTCGCACCGACAGTGTGTACTAAGAAGTGACGTAAGCCGGTCGACAGCGACGTCATTTGTGCGCGGCGTTCAACAACAGAAACAAAGAACAACAACATTAACAACAGGAGGATGGAGGACGCTGTGATCGGAGCTGTGTTTTTGTTGTGTCTCGCGGGTTTCACAATAATGGACATGGAATGTCGACGTATACGTAAAGCGATTGAAAGAACGGAAAGGAGGACTAAGAATCTCCAACGACAACTGGCAGTGCTAACGTTACATTTGCTACAAGTGCCTGCACTTCAGCGTCCGTCCATCTATCGCTGTTCTCCATACTTGCGAAATCTATTTCCCAGTACCATTTAAAGGGTTGCATTCGCACCGAGAGTGTGTACTAAGAAGTGACGTAAGCCGGTCGACAGCGACGTCATTTGTGCGCGGCGTTCAACAACAGAAACAAAGAAGAACAACGTTAACAACAGGAGGATGGAGGACGCTGTGATCGGAGCTGGTTTTGTTGTGTCTCGCAGGTTTCACAATAATGGACATGGAAAGTCGACGTATACGTAAAGCGATTGGCGAAAACGCCAAAAAGTGGGTAGTTCCACAAGTAGTTCTGGTACTATGAAAAGGTTCCCGCGGTGCGAAAGGCCCTAAAGATGTTGGCCGAAATAAGATATCCAATCATTTTGTCGCATCTAGAGCAGTCACTACATCAGTAGAGTGCTTATCAATGTTGTCTAGGTAGGCAGCTCACTTGGTTGTTGAACGGAGCCATTACCCAAGTTCAATTAGTTACTCTAATGCAGGTGTTTTCATCAGCAAATATACAGTGGGTGAAAATGACATATTATGAGCACAACTGGCATTACAATGGGATTTAATAAGCAGATTTAGTCTTCACCTGAGCGCTCGGCTGAGCTTGTCATAATTCATCTGGGGCTTGCACTTGCGGGCGCCCCACAGTCGTGCCACCTCGTCCGGGTCTTTGATGACGAATTCGCCGTAATCCCCCTGCCAGGCGATGACATCATGGTACTCCTCCTTCCGCAGCAGCTCCAGGATGAAGTGCCAGAGCTGGATCTGTCTGGAACCAGGACTCGACTCCGGCTTGTAGGCCCAGTCTGGGAAGGCAAACCCTAGAGGTCAGACACAAAACACGCCTGAGACTCTTGCCACTTCGATGCAATCTAGCCAACGTTTGGCGAGAGTAAAGTGGGGGCATGTTTCACCACATCTTATCTCGAATAATAAGAGGTTGTATTACCTCTGCTGTCTATTAAATGACATTAAGCCAAGGGAACGATACATTTCCAAGGCTGTAGGCCTTTATACAGATTCGCTCTCTGGATTTTAGTCTGGTAAAAATTTGTATGCGATTTCTATTTATCTCTCAATCACCTCCAAGTCTGAATAAGTTGTAAGAAATGCCTCAGCGTCTAGTTAACGAGCACCTCGATCCAGAATCCTTGAGGCAGAAGTCATAATAACCCTCATATACACACACAGATGGTACACAGTCTCTACTTTTAGACTCTTTTAGACTCAATACTTGCAGAAAAAGAAGCAGGAGGCCGCTGGAGGTGAGACAAAAACACGGCTGTGACTTTAAGGGTCTTTTGTCTCATTACGGGAACTGTTTGTGCTTTGAGACGTTAACACGGACAGACGGTTACATAACATGCTAAGTGACAGACCTATTACGAATCCATGCACAACGCTGAGTCAACGTGACATCGTGAGACGGCAGAAGAGCTCTTTGAAACAAGCACGAACAAACACCTGAGAACGTTAGCCTTTGGCGCACTTGGACGAGTATGAAAAAGCCAAGTCTGCAGACTCAACCCAAACGAGGTGAAGTATTTCTGCTGGCTCTAAATTAGACACAATGTCCTATTAGGAAAGAAAAACAAAATCAGAGCAAAAAACAATGAACCAAGATTCTATCTCTAAGGCGAGCTATGTCAGGTGGGAACGACCAAAAATAACAGCATAATTCCCACACTCGCACACAAAAGAGAAAGAGAGGGTCTTGGCGCACGACGTGGTGTTGTGCTCACTGGAATGCCCCTTTCAGACGGTTTAGAGCTTGGCAGCTAATACAGCCTATCGCCGTGCTAGGTAGCGAACGCAGAACAGCTCAGCATTACCGCCACCGCCAACCGCACACATGTGCTGCGGGGACCCACGCTGAGCAGGGGGGCGGTAGGATGACTTGGACACCGTGGGCTGGTACTAACTGTCCGTGACAACTGCTGAACAGTCGGCAATGTGGCTTGACTCATGATTGAGATGTTTGGTTGAGAGATCTGGCAGATCGGAGATGTAAAACTCACTTGACCCACTGAAAAGCAGAGGATCAGTTCCATTTCTTGTGGTAAACAACACAGAGTCATATGAGCAACAAGTTTCTCAAACATTAAGGACACAAATTTGGTTCATGTACAAAGTCCTGATAACTTGCAGTTCAGTGAGCGAGTCAGATGTTGATTCAGTAAGCACTTAGCAAGTTCGTCAGGTTGATTCAGACCAGCCCATAATAGTTATTTAATCATGAATTAGACAATGCTTCCAATTCCAGCAAATAAGAGACAATCAATCGTGAATGGACTACACATGTTGCGCTGCATGTTTTTGATTCACTAAAAAAGTCCAGCTCATATGGGTCATTTGCTATTGAATCAACTCAACAGAAAGATGCGCTTTCGCCATTATTCAGCGAGAGTAAAAACACTCAAATCAGACTGCAAACTCGTATTTGGAACTGGAGTAAAACTCAAAGACTTGATTCCTTTTGCTGTGTGTTGAAGATTCAGCAATGCAGGAAACACTGGCATAACCGCAACAGAAGTGATACTCGAAAAATTATACTAAAAAAAAAAAAAAATGCACCCAACCAATTGGGCCTGTAATTTTGGCGCCTTTTTCAAAGAGATTTAGGCCTATAGGAATGCGACTTCAAAAAGTCTTCTCATCATTCATCACCATTCATGCCAATTTTACCAAGACATGTCACATTAAATGGTTCATATATGGTTAGTTGTGTGTTTGTGGGACCAGACCTCCACCGAGTGAGTGGGCACACAGAAACACAAAGCATCCCACAGTTTGTGCGCGTCAGCGCTGACTCACGGCGTATGCGTGAGTGCATTTGTCATTCAGCTTTCACAAGAAGTGCGCCTTTTCCCTCCACTCTCATACCTTTTTCTCTCTCTCGTGCATTGGGTCCCTGGCTCCCACACCATCTCCTAGCAACAAGACACTTTAGTGCTATAAATACACGTATAGCAGAGAGAAAAAAACTTAATCCAATTAATCAATTAATGAAATCAAAACGCACAAGCTAAAATATCCAAAGTGCATTTGATTCTAATAAACAAAAGAGAGATTAAAGGGACCGTTTCCCCAAATATGAAAATTCATTCATGTCGTTTCAAACCTGTATGACACAAAATACAGTATTTCAAGAAATATCTCAGTGTTTTTCATCCATACAAGAGTCAATAGGTTCCAAAGTTGTTTTGGACCCCACTGACTTTCACTGTATGGACAAAAATATTCTTCAAAATACCTTCTTTTGTGTTTTGAAAAAGAAAGACAGTCATAGAGGTTTGAAATGACAAGAATACATTTTACATAATTATATATTATAATTTTATACTTTTTATATTAAATGACAGACTTTCTTTCATGGGTGAACTTTTCCTTGACGTAGCTAATTCTATTTATTGCTACAGTATTCATAGGTGGTTGCTTCAAAATAAGTATTTAATCTTTTTTTTACTTAATTTTTTCAAAAATCTTTGAAAAGTACTTAAGCCACACAATTTGACTGTAGTGGGATGAGTTCTGTGCCAAATTTTAATACATGCGCTCAGGGGTTTGTTCTCTAACCAGTAACAGTGATGTTTGCTCAAAAAGAACAAAGAAGTAAGCCACAATTGGCAATAGGGTGACGATAAACAGGTAGACATCCCTTAATAATAAGAAGGGACATAAAATAAACCCCAGACGAGGGCTAAACATCAGACTCTGGGGAAGGCCGAAGAATGACTTTACAAAAAACAGCTCTGAGATACTTTAAAACAAACCAGTGTGCCATAATACCATCTTTTTTTTCACATAAGCCCACAAGACAACTTAGCGCGTACACACAAACATGCTCAATCAAAGCGCAATAACAGCTAAAACAGGCACGTCCCCTGGTGTCTGTGGGTTCTGCTGGGACTGCCGTTTCTCTGACGGTTACTGTCACTAATGGGTATGGAGTCAGGAGACCGCCAGACGAAACCCTCGCTTGACAGGGCCCTGTACACACGCTTAGAAAAACAACATGACATAAGCCTTACATGATAGCACCTGTACAAACTGAACCGGCACAAACAAACAAACCGGCTGACGAACATCTGACCGAACATTACACGCAAGTTCGAGGAAATTGGACGCTAATATCCACCTTGGCATCGTTCTTTTGCCATTTCGGTGCGTAAAGTCTCTAAAAACAGCACCTATTGCCGTCGTCTCTGTTTGCGATTAGCGTTCAGCTGCAACAGCTCTTTTTTTATGGCGAGGCCGTGACGCAAGAACGAAAAAGAAAACAAAAACGCCGTCCTCTGCGTCTCTGGTCTGTATTTAAAGGCTCAGAAATGTTTAGGGCCCCCGCGCTCATTCGTCTCCCCCACTTCCCTCCCTTCCTCCTATTCTTTGTGGGCTCTATATTTAGGCAGAGGAAAAGGTCGTTCTCCATCTACTAATGATGGTGGCGACAGGGGAAAAAAAAGGGTACGTGTGTGTGCCAGCATGAATGTGTGCTGGATGAGTAATACAAAAGAACCACGAGCGGCTCTGCTGCCTAAATGTTCCACTTACAATCGACACTGTCATTTTGCCTTGAAAAATACTGACGGTCGATTGATATGGGGCACGTTGGCGTTGGTCCGCGTACGTTCAGTAGTTGGTTGCACTGATCCAAGCTGCGTGGAATGAGTCAGTGTTGTTTTGCGTTAATAAGAACGCCCCCGACGAAAAATACAACAAAACCCTGCAACTGCATGTTTATGTGTTTCACATTCTCTCTGGGCAACACGGATCTCACCTTCTTATTTGCGTTAAGACGACTCATCTGGGTGATACCTGGAGGCTTTGTTTAGATACACATAATCAGTCATATAACAATGACATAACGACTCAGCTGTCAATATAGCATGGAGATATGAGAAATATTTATGACATACACAATGTTATTTTGTCATCGGTACAAAATTAATCATTACCAAGAAAGTTGTGATAATTAACACTTTTACCAGCAGTTTTGTGCCTGTTGCTGGTCACAAATTACATGAAAGTGTCAAGACTGTGCTATTTATTGTAGCATCTCTGATTTAAACCTCAAGAACAAAAATGCCAACGTTGTTTGAGGAGTTGTGATTCATTTCTTTTGAACTGTCGGTTTAAATGAATCACTGACTCAGCAATTTGTTTGCATCATCACTCAAAAATATAATTAACAAAAAACCTATTTAGGGAACAATAACAAGATTTTCACAGATTTATCACTTTTATTTAATGATTTAACAAAGACTTTTCAACCAAGGCTGTTTGGTCAAACTTATCATGGTTCTTTTGATTGGAAAAAAGTTTTAAGCCATTAAAAAAAAAAAAAAGACAGATAAAAGTACGCCATGAGTTGGCGCCGATAGCCTTGTGGGCAGTGCGCTGATATGTATCGCCGTTGCGTTATGGGCGTCCCAAGTTCGAATCCCAGCTCGAAGACCTTTCCCGAACCCCCCCCCCCAACCCTCTCCCTTTTTGCTTCCTGTCACTTCTACACTGTACTATACTAATAAAAAGTAAAAAAAAAATATATATATATAATAATAATAAATATATATATAATTTTTTTTATTATTTAAATTATTTAAATACTATACAGCTGTTTTTTTAGCTGTATTAATGGCCATTCACACAAAGGACGATAACCCAATTTTATTTAATAATCACTCTAATTCTATGATTCTAGGCAAGTCCACAATAATGCTGCAGAGGAACTAAATCATTATATAAATAATCACTTCCAGAACTAATTCTTCCAACTGAAGAATGATACAAATACTGACAGCCAATCAGAATCCATCAAACT